ATCTCAGATAAAGGCAACGAACAACAAGAAAACAACGTGTAACTTGAACAAGCTTAACAACGAAACAGCGGGCTTTACCCTTTTTCACCTCTTCGGCAGGCTTACTGGATACTCTCTATCTAAGGGTGAGGTCGCCTTTCTTCGACAGATTAAGCTCCAGCCAGCGCTTCCTCAGCGCACTCTGAGACTCCCCCTCCCCCCTGACTCCCGGTATTTATATCCAGCCGAAGGGGCCAACGCGGGCTTTTCTTCACGCCACTAAAGATCGGTAGGTCGGTGATCCGCACCCTCTGACATGTGTTAATAAGCCATTTTGTTTGGGACACACGAAATGCCCCTGCGGGTTTATTGATTTTTTTAGCAGTTTTGGCCTATGTTCAAAAAATTTATGTTCACCCAAAAGGGAGAGAAGGAGCCAAGGAATCTGAACCAAATTTGGCAGACCTAATGTATGGGGTGGGGCGTGTGTTGATAAATCAATCAATACTATATAATATTTGACTTAGCCACTTTTTGTATGTTCACCCAAAAGGGATAGAAGGAGCCAAGGAATCTTAACCAAATTTGGCAAACCTAATGTATGGGTTAGGACATGTATTAATAAGCCATTTTGTTCGGAACGGACACACCATTCGACTCTATCGGTTTATTGATTTTTTGCAGTTTTTGCTTGGAAAATTTTGTATGTTCGCCCAAAAAAGATAGAAAGAGCCAAGGAATCTGACAAATAATTCAGACCCAATGTATGGGGAGAAACGTGTGTTAATACGCCTTTTGTTCGGGACACACGGGATGCCCCTATCGATTTACTGATTTTTAATTTTTGCCTATCAATTTTTCCGCCCCGAATAATACAGGGTGGTCCACATGAAATGTGACGCACAAAAGCTTTCGTAACTTTACTAATACTCAATGAAATTAAAAGCTTCTGTTTTCATCTGATAAACAAGAAAATTCTTTATAAGTCCTTATAGACTACTTCTAAGAAGTCCATCTTCGACTTAAATGACAGAATTTATTCTGCTTGGAGAAATTTTTAAAATGCGCGCACTGGTTTTTGGCAGAAATCCCAGGCTCTCACTAGGTCTCCTTTAGCAAATCTAATGGCCTGGGTTTGGAAGAGCGAACCTTTTGCTTACAGATAGAAAAAGCGGAGAATTTGTGGGTTTGAGAGTGTTCGACTCGGAAGGCCAAAATTGTCTGCTTGTATGTGGCAAATATGAAGTTTGATGGACTGCGAAAAAACCATTTTTTGGTCTATTTCATTCCAGGTTTCGAAGATATTCGTCTTCTCCATGTTTTGTCCCGTTGTGCTTGCTCCCTACTTCGGTTCTTACTAAAACATGACCAAGCTTGAAAGTTTATTAGAGGCAGTCGCCATGGCAAAGAAAATCGCAATCTTTCGAAATTTTGGAAAAAGCATTGAAGGCAAACTCTGAAGGGCTGTGGCACTTTCTTGGATCAAAGGAAACTTTATAAACGCTTTTGGGAATTTTTAGCGTGACTAGAAACCAATTTGCCGCGAAAAGAAGAAATTGAAGTTGTGTAAAATCCATCGTTCGGACACTGGAAAAAATGACATTTGGCCCTCTTGCTCGCCCATCTTTGAACCAGCAAACGCTCTTTTCTGTAAGTCTGAAAGGAAAAAGTCTGCTCTTTAAAACCCATGTCATTTGATCTGCCAAAAACAAACCGGTGAGAGCTTGGGAGCAGAACCATCGCGCGCAAATCGAAGAATTTTTGGGAGAATTTTGAAGGAGAAAAACGGTTTTGAAAAAGCAGGGACAAATATCTCGAACGTTAGTTCAAAGTTTTTAGAATTCTCTTCTCTATCAGGTGAGGACAAAAGCTTCTGATTTCATTCAGTCCTTGCAAAGTTATAATATTAGGTTGGTGCAAAAGTTCTTTCCGCCCAAATTCAAAAATTCATAACTTGTTGAATTCTCAACGAAACTGCAAGATCTAGACTTTGCTTAAGAGAGAAACTCACGCTCTTTGCATCCGTACCTGAAGTGTTCGTTAATGTTTACAAATTAAGGAGATAGAAGCTCAAAACCAAAATAACTCGAAATTTGAATTTTTCGTGTAGGGTCATAAAAAATCGGAAACCTGCAACAAAAATCGGAGCAGTCAGTATTGTAGGTTCTTTCACCAGCTCTTTCTGAAGGTGCAAAGTTTGCGCTGATTGAGCGCCTCTATCAGAAGTTATGAATTTCGAGCAAGCAATACAAAAGGGCGAATTTGATTTATTTTGGCATTTTTCAGAGAAATCATAACTTTTCATAGAGACGCTCAATTAGCGCAAACTTTGCACCGTTAGAAAGAGCTGGTAAAAGTACCTACAATATCGACTGCTCCGATTTTTACTGCAAGTTTCCGATTTTTTATGACCCTACACGAAAAATTCAAATTTTGAGTGATTTTGGTTTTGAGCTTCTATCTCCTTAAGTTTTAAACTTTAACGAACAGTTCAGATAAAGATGCAAACAGCATGAGTTTCCCTCTTAAGCAAAATTTAGATACTACAGTTTCGTTGAGAATTCAACAAGTTATGAATTTTTGAATTTGGGCGGAAAGAACTTTTGCACCAACCTAATATTTTTTTGTGTCACACTTCATGTGGACCACCCTGAAGAAAGAAGTTTCAACTCAGTTTAAAGACGCATGTTTTCTGAGCACCAAAGAGTAGCTCAGGCTACCTTTCGCAGCACTTTTCTGCCAGGGCCCGTCACGAGTCGGTTTCTAGGATTTCTGAAAATGGAGTCTTTCCTGACTTTCGGAAGTTTTACGAAGTCCCCTTTGACCTACCTGCTTAAAAGAAGATGAAAACAAGAAAGATTTACTAGTCTGAAAGAAAAGACGTAAGGTGAAAATCCAAATTGGAGCTGAATACTAGGCATGCGCAAGACTTTGGCATTAGAGCGCGATATTTAACAAAGCGAGAAGAAATGAAGGCAAAAAACAAAGGAAAGGCAATGATATGAAAATGTCTTCATGCTTAGAGGTAGATTTTTGACCGGGGAGTCCGTCCATGCTAAAAAAATATCCAAAACTTATATGAAGTGACGAAAATATATGCTCCAGACGATCTCAGGTCGTCTGGTGGCCGTCTGGAGACGATCTAATCTTGGAAAAGGTATTACTTTACATAAGTTTTCAAATCTTTTTACATAGTACTTTCGCAAATAATTTTCTACACATATATTTCAATTTTGATGTCATATGCCTCTGGGTGCGCTGTAAATAAGCAATCTGTTTATTTGAACCTTGCATTCAAATCGCGCGCACTTTTCGCCATGCACGATAGAGCATGTCAATCGTGAGATAACCTGTCCGAATAACTTGTGTTCGACTAAATAGCGCTAATTCTTGGTGCTCGGTTCCGACTCGTCAAAAACGATATCCCCTTTGCTGTTTACCTCAAAAACGAAGTCCAGCCTGCTTCCAGACGATCTGTGCCGGGTCATGTCATGTTTGTTGCGCGTTTCTATCGTTTTTATTGAGATTCGGTTTTAGAAAAAAATGTCTTATTAGCAACTTTAATCCACTATCACCAGATAGATATAAAAGATAACACATTTCATACGCATTTGAATGATTCCAGGCCTTTGTTTATAAGTTACTTTGTTCAAAACATACATATTGCTTCTATCGCTTTATTGATTTTTTGCAGTTTTTGCTCAAAAAATTTTTGCCGGCAAAATGTATAAAAAAACTATGAGGTCTTAGGCGCATTTGTTACACCACTTTTAGCCTTGAAAAAAAGAAGTGTAATAATATACTTTGAAATGGAGAATCAGATTGGATCTGGAAAAACATCTGGTCCCGTAGTAAAACCCCGCATGTCGTGCCGTATAGCACGGAGAATGCTGTGACATGTGCTGACTATCAATGAAGGGAGGCAGGCCTGCGGATAGTCGCTATAGTCTTGCGAGATACTTCGAGCTATCACGACATAGTTCATCTATGCTGTGACAACCAGGAGGGGTTTACTACGGGTTCTGACCTTTTGCTAATTCCAGCGGGAAGCTTCGTGATACGGGCTTGAAATTTGAACCCATGGTTTTCATCATGCCCAAGTTTGACAATTTTCTACATTTATTTTGACCTTCTGAAAGAGCTTACCTGACTCGATAGAGCAACAAAGTGCAACAATGTAAGTTTTTTGTCACCCCAGCTCTCTTTTCCAAATTACCAAAGTTATTCCGATGTTAACAAATTCCATCTTTGGTTCGGCCAAATCTCACAGAACATGAACTGACAAGCGCCTGGGCACTGCTCGACGCAGCTTCTTCTTCTCTTCAGGATAGGTGTTATTTCTTCATTTTGTGGAGCTTCGAGAGATAAAATAATCAAAATTGCAAAACACCCAAAATTTCAAAGTTTGATTGCTCAGCGGAGAAAGCTCATTTACTTCTTAAAATTAGTTTAAAATGTTAAACGAGTCTTTAATTCGAAAAATTTCCGTGTTTGATGCCTTCGTGTATCGGAAAAATCATCCTGGAAAATCCTGGGAAACTAGAAGCTACACAACTTTGTTGTATCGCACTTTGTTTACTCTATCCATCTGTATCACCGCTATTCCGCTGAAACCGAAAATTTTGAAAAATTGTCAAAATTGGGTGTAGCAAACACCATGGGTTCAAAATTTTTGCCAATATTTTGGTGGACACAAAAGCAAATGATCTGGAAACATCTTTGAAAAGAGGAACCAAATTTGCATTGAATAGTCCTTGAATTGTCCTCTTTACCTCTCATAATTTGTCAAAAAAGTCGTCGGAATGCAGCGCACTCCGCCGCACTGCAGCGCACTCCGGCGACTTATGAGCGGTATTGTACAGGTCAGAAATGGAAACAACTTTTGGTGCGACCTAATATATAGAGATTTTATTGTAATATATTTACACTAAACGTTCTTATATTTTGTCTAAATGTTCCATTTCCGTTCCATGTCTTATGTTACCGAATAGAGTGAGACTATGCCTATGGACTCTGCCAACCTCTATATTTCCGTATTGGCTGATTATACACTGAGCTCGATCCACAAACTTTTTTCTCGAGTCGGCGTGCCACCACTCGCGTAGATTACCAACAGCATCAAACCGACGTCCTAAAATATTGAGGGTATTGGAAGCTTCTGCATTGCTACAAGTTACGATAAAAACTTTTGTTTTTTGTTTCAAAAAAAAAAAACAAGACGTACCTTGATCATCGAAGCCATGCGTAATTTCATGCCCAATTGACGTTCCCAATCCCCCGTAATTTAAAGCTCTGTAAAGAAAAAAGTCGAACTAACTGTTTGCAGGCATCGATATTTTTCCCTAATTATAATCTGGTAAGCTATGCCAGAAAACTAGTTGGTCAGGGTAGTGAGTGTTCAACCGCGCCTCTGCGTTACCCATCAATAAACATTTTTAAGGATTACTTCCAGGTAGTTCCGCTAAGTCTGACAAGTTTTAAATAGACGATATAATCGTGATAAACGAATCAGTCTCTGAACTTCCATTGAAGTGATTCTGCGTATTTATATATGACAGCTAAACCTATTAAGCTGTCGATGTGCTACTCGAAAAGCATTGTGCACATAACGAACGATTTCGTCATTCTTACTTCAGATTTCAATCTTTGCAAAATCTTCTAAGTAGATAGGCTAGCTAAAACAACCTAGGAAAGGTGTGATGAAAATGTGGAGCTTGAAGAAAGGCAGCAGGAACGCCTGAAATTACTTGAAAATACGAAAGAAAACAAAAAGAGCTGCGGTCTTACGAATAGAATTAGCCGTAAACAGATAATAAGCATTCACTGTGGCAGAGTTCAAATCAGTAACACCGTAGCGAAACTCGGAACGATCCACAGGTCTAATCAGTTGTTTGAAGTAAGATTCAAGTTTCCATCTCCCCACTTTTTCGAGCATCTCACTGTATGAATCATTATCGTGCACGTTCAGCTGAAATATATGTACGTTTCCGAACTTGACAGCAATAAAAAAGCGTTTTTACACCGTCGTAGTACTGGTCGAGCTTTTCATCATCCAAAATAAAGTCAGGATAGGCAATCAGGGGCAACATCTGGTTCGCCTTATCCAAAGCTGCCTGCAGTGATACATTTAGTTGCTTATCGTTCAATATGTAAACCGACAGCTCTAGTTTCATCGTCCATCCAGTCACTGGTGCTAAGGATGTCTCGGAATATCTCAAGCAAATTTTCCAACAACTCCAAGGTGACATTCTTCGAAGCCTAGATAGCACGAGTGACAGAATGAAGGGCGAATTTTTATGCGGGTAACCTGGTCGAATGCCTTTTTTACATAAATCGCGCTGGTAGCGTATTCCATTTGTTCCATAGTGTGTTTAGTGCAATACTTCCATCGCGGGAGTTTCTGCTGTTGTCCCAGCATAACCTTATTGACTTCCTGAAATTTATAGCATCTTCTGACCGAACCTACTTCGACCTGACTGTGGCGAGTTTGAATGATCAGATTTGAATTTTTTAACAACATATTTTAGACCTGTTCAATGTCTTCATATTTTTCTCCTATTTCTCCTTCCCATTTTGAAGAAAATCGCATGAAAACATAGTTTGTGATTATGCGAGGGTCCGTTGATTGCAAAAGTTTGCTTATCCTGAATCCGTGTGCTCTACTGATTGCTAGAGAAGCAGAGCAATCACTGTTCCATGAAAGTTCTACCTTTTCATATAGTCAACTTCTGCAATGAGAATTTCTGGATCTGATTCAAAGTATTGATGAGAAGCAACCGGAGCAATGGCTAGAAGAAAACGCGACCAGTCGACCTGGAGGATAAATTTGTCAAGTGATCAACTATGGGCAGTGTTTTAACACGCCCCACCAAAGGCATGAGTTTGTGCATGTCACTCAAGTGATAAAGGTTATATCTGGAATGGTCCCTGCGGTCCTCCTCTGCAACTGTGAGCTTGTGCATTTTCCTTTCCAAATCCAATAACTCGTCGACGTCCTTTTCAATTTTTGTTCTGTTGGTGGGCAGATCACCATCCTTTTGTAATAGCTCAACCTATAACTTTTAGCAGTTTCTAACAACTTGTGTCTGATTCTTGATAGAATGATTTACCTTGCTGATTAGGTGTTTTCTCACAGCCTCGGAAGCCTCAAGTGCCTTGTTATGAATTTCTTCATTTAAAAGGTTAGCTCGCGAAGGGTCGCCTACGCTACCAGAGTCTTGATCAAACTATAAAAAGCATTAGCAGCACAAGGACAAACTAATCACGCCCTGCGAGCTCTAGTTGATTTTTTATGAGAAAAAGTACAGCAGACATTGACCCTGTTTGAAAGGCCCGAAAATTCATAAAATTGGTAAAATAAAATTGGTTTGCGACAGCTCCTCGATAAAATGGAGATCATCTCTCAAACATGGATATTCATATCGCGTAAAAAGTCATTATTTTTGTTGACAATCAAGCTTTATGGGTTAGATCAATTCGTTTGCATCTTACATTGCTGTGATTTTTTGCAAAAAAAACGGTGGACGCGACGGCAAGCAACTATGTGATTTCGCCAAGGGAAGAACTCGAGAAAAGGGAAAATGGCAATAAAACTTTTCCCAGAAAATTCAGTACCGACTAAATAAAGATTTGTCATTTATGTCATCACAGGTTTTTTTTGCTCGAACTTCGAAATTCGAATTTATTCTTGATTTCTGAAGGTTTTTAATGACGCGTGCACAGCAACCACATAGGGTACTGCGTCCTTTTTTTTTGATGTATAGAAGCCACAAACCATGAAGAGCACGCGTGAGACGTTTTTGAGATCGTTAAGGAAAGTCGTCATGATGAACACATCGCCATTGCGGAATAGGTTTACATGAATCAGCAGCGACGTCAAATCAAAATCTTCTTCTTTCCACTTTTCGTCTCCATCCAAAATCGGCCAAACACCGAAAGTCTAAAGCTTCCTCCTTTACAGATGTTCCTGAGGCTGTATATGGCCTACCCTAATGTATTCTATCAATCGCCTAGCACCGATACGATTCAGCTCGTCCGTGTCCATGCATTTTTTGTAGATGGCTTTCAGTGCATTTATGGATTGCGATCCGAACGTCTCATCCGATTCAAATATTTCTGGAAAATCCGTTAACTTTTGGATTTCAAGGTGAAACGCATCGATCTGTGAGAACCGAAAGTGCGCAACTTATTAGGTTGATGAAAATCTCTATTCGCGTTTTCTCGCTGTAAGCTATGTTCAAGAATCAAATAATACGGTTGACTTTGCACTGTTCAACTAAGGAGTTTGCAGCTCTGCATCATTTCGATACCTACCTCTCATTTGCTCTTGCACTTTGTCAGTGAGCATTTCTATCTGTGAATAGGTAGATTTGTCTTCGGGTATCGGATGATCAGCTATCCAGTTACCACAGGTAAACTCAAAAAAATCTTCGCATGGATCCACCTGAGGTACATTATCAATTGTATTGCCTTGGCGCAGATTCAATTAACTAACCGAGAAATTGATGGACTTTGTTAATATTTCCGATGCAACATCATATCCTGAAGAGCCTATGTTCTCCACTTCTTCGCCCATAGCAGTAATAGTAGGAGCATACCAGCACAACCATACCAAAATCGGTGCCCACCTCATTTGAAACACTGGCGAAAGGTGATCTACCTTCTTTACTAATAAGGAACGCACATATACAGGGTGTCCCAAAAGATGTGAATACTGTTTGGTCATCAATAACTCGCTCATTTTCATGTCTTTTGCCGAGATTGGGTTACCGTTCTGTAAAGCGAGGTACAACTTGGATACCAGTATGGAGTGATTCATCGATCGCTCTTCATTACTATAAGATTACGGTAGGAACTTCGACAAGGATTTCAGGCCGTTGGAGGCCATATTCTATTTCGGAACAAAACTAAACAAGCAAGACTCTCATACTATGGTAATGGAAAATTTCCACTTTCTTGTGACGCTTCTTTCTTAGCTATCCCAGGTAGACAGCAATAAGTGAATTCCCAGCATTTGTCGGAAATGATACACCGTCAAAAAAGCTGAAAACACTGTAAAAAGTTGTGTATTAGAATCAGCGTACGCGAAAACCTTATCACACAATTTTTCAGATTTTTTGAGTGAAATTTTGTCAGATGGCATATTTCACTATGGTTCCACATGCTGGAAGTTCTTACCGTAATCCTACGTAACAAAGAGCGATCGGTAATTCGTCCCATACTGTAGGTCTAAGTTGAACCTCGCTCTACAGAATGGTGCCTCAAGCTCGGCGAAAGACATGAAGCAACGGATTTATTAAGGATCAAACAATGTTCACATTTTTGGGACACCCTGTACATTATATGCGTTTTGCGTACAACATGACAAGAACGATTATATCTAATGCTATGGCGGCCGAAGAATCTTCTAGAGAAGCACAAAAATTTTTTTGAGATGACTGCGGGACTTTCATCCATGGTTTTTTTACATTCTTGAAACTCCTTTAAAGGAATATTCTGAGATTATTTCTGAGTTTCCCAGCTCATAATCCGTGGAAACTTGCAAAAAATGAGTGTGCTTATCAGAAGAAATTCTTACGATGCTAGTTCATATTTTTGAAGTTTGGATTCTTTTAGTTAACAAGTAAAAGCATTACACCTGCACAATTCGCATGTTATATATGCTACTCTTAAAAATTTCGGAAATCCGTTTTCGCGCAGTCACCCCCCTCCTCCCCGCAAGTTGTAGGTCGGAAATTGCACTAAAGCTATCGTGAATGCTGAATTTTGCTTCAGTGCTGTTCTAAGAACTTCAAAAAATTTCAAATCTTAGTCTTTAAGTCTGATTTCTCGGAAATAGTGGTTTTCGTGCTGTTGACAATTGTTCTATTGGAACCGAATTTTTGGAGATTTACTTGCTCCAGAAAAAAGGACTTGATGAATCGGAAAGTATATGCAGATGCTTGCAAAAGAAAGTTGATATACAGTCGCTTCATTTCATATGATCATGTGTGCCATTGCACACACAGTCCACTTTGGCGTCTTCATCCTGGATTTGCAATCGCAAAAACGCAAGAGACTTACCGATTGTTATCGATTACATCAATTTGAGGTGACTAGTAACTAAAAAGGAAAGAAAATGCTAAGAACCCTTGGAAACACTTACCTGAAGACTTGTTTCTCCCACGAATCCAGGATGGGAACGCCAAAGGTGAACTGTATGTGCAATGACACACATGATCATATGAAATGAAGCGACTGTAACTGACAAGGGAACCGTGTCGAGTCGAAGTGGCCTTTCCAGATGAGACCCATACTGCTTTGAAGAGCATTAAGAGGTGATTCCAAATCTGCCTTCCAAATCTGCCAAGTGCCTCTGGACGCCGAGTTATGACCGTTCTTCAGAACGAAAAATGAATGCAGAACTTAGGTAAAATTGATTGTTACAATCTTTCCAGCGCTCAGATAAAGCAATGTTAAGTATTGGGATGTTGAATAAAATGTATCCATTGCGTAAACAGCTCTGATACTTGACATTGGACCATTTGAGCAAATTTGGGCGATTTTGCTTCAGTTTTGCGTTCGATTTTTTGACCTGAAAAACGAGCATAAGTCGGCGTCCAGAGGCGCTTGGCAGATTTGGAAAGCAGACTTGGAATCACCGATTAATGCTCTTCGAAGCAGTATTGGTCTCATCTGGAAAGGCCACTTCGACTCAACACCGTTTCCTTGTGAGTACTAAAATAAGCGATGCTTAATATTAACTGATGCATTGCGTGGCAAATTCGCAATAAGCAAGAAATGACTTCCTGAGCCAAAAGGTAAGAACATAACTATGAACAAACAGGCACCAAAATGCGATCGTGAATTGCAGCTGAGTTCCGCTGTAATGATGTCCATCAACGAAACAATATTCAGCCAATGACAATTTCACTTAGCAAAAGATAGTTACGCGATGAGATAGTTAGTTTTTCTGATTGAAAAATGAGTTCATCTTTGTTTGAGTCTTAGGTTTGATGAGTAAAAAATATATAATTTATTTCAAGGCCTCGACGACTTCAGGATTTCGAAATCACATCTAACACAAGAAAAGTACTAATTTTTCCTTCGCACCGTTCGAAACAGACACATAACAATAAAAGTTCTCTAAGAAGTGGTTCGTAATCATAATTGATTGCTACAATGCATGAATGCTCCTGATAACAGGAAATACAAACTAAAACAAGTTCGCTGTAAACGAGAACGCTTCATTGGAAAAAAGTTTCAAGGCACAGAATTAGTGATCGGAATGCCGCACAATTCCTACTGCAACGAAAATAACGAAAAATCCACATCGAATTGCAGGTATGGATGCGAATAGACGAAACTTGTAAGAAAAATAAGACGATGGTTCTAGACTATCTATGTCATGTTTATGTTGATTCAAAAAAGTTAGATGGAGTAAGTGTTAGTTGAAGATGACAAATGTGAAAAACGCATTTTCTACTAACTCCTTTTTTTGACAATCCCAAAGCTTGCTGCTTACAGTCAGTCTCCAGCAATAAATCAATTTGTTGATTTTTAGGCTTAGTTGTACAGTATGCGCCCTCTGTGTCACACAGTGTCGCCGGCTCAAGTGGAGCTCGCGTACTATTTTTGCTGCCTTGTCGCGCGTGCTCCGCCTCAGCTCATGGGATCCCACAACGACTAAGTGCTGTAGCCCATATTCATCTTACGTGGAAGGCTTATTACTTACTTATGCACTTAGATGGCCCGCCCTTACGTAACGTTCCGGTCCCAGTACGGAGGTTTTCAATGATTCCTGTTCCTCGCTTCGGACATCCACGATCTTCTTGGTCGTCGTCGGTGGCTGCGTCCACGAGTTCCAGGGGCGAGAATCGTATCCAGCTGATTTCTCAGCTGGTCCATCTATTCTACGAATACGTCTGCCCATCTCGCTGGAGGTCCTTCTCGGGGACGTTTCGCTTTGCGAGAAGTCCAATCTGATGTTCTTGGTGTCCATCTGTCGTCTGTTCTTCTTATGATGTGACCGGCGTTTGATGTTTCGCTTTCGCAACTTATTCCGCTAGGTCAGAAAGACGGACACTTTTCTCAAATCTGCCAAGCTGAAGTGACTCTAACACAATGACGACCGCTTGACACACATGGTGTGTCAAGGCTTGGGACTCCATGGCTCTCATTGAAATGGCTACTAAAATGTGTCAAACCAACTCCGGGAGTTTTCTTTCATGTTGGATTTAGTTACAACCTCTACTGTTTTTCCCAGCATTCCAACACTACTGTAGGTGTACTGTAGATGGAATAGTGCGTGGTTTTATTTGAAAAATGTTGGCTGGTCCGCGAAAGGCCTCGGCCGTCAAAGTGTTAACACATGTCGCATTGGTATTCAAAAGTTTTTTCTGCTGCTATTTCATTTAAATGAACTGCTGTCTACCGCGCTACAAACTGTCTTTTTGATCGAACTGCTCTCTGACCAGTGCAACGTGGCAACTCTCTACCCATCTTAGCGAAAACCACATAAGAATGTTCTCATATTTAGTGAATTCGTCATCCTTCGCTATGGGCATTCACAATGAGTGCAGCTTTTTGATGTTCGAGAGAATGTATTGACGAGGACAGTTAAATTTTTATGCAAACTGAGGTAGTACAATCAGACAGTCGGAACGCTCTGGGATGATACTTATCAATCTCCCGCTCGCTGTTGAGGCGCGTTCCATTGTTACACGGACAGGTGAAAGCGTCTAAAAAGTTATTTCTGTGAAGTTGGTCAGCATGGCCTGGACGAACAGCAGAGACCGATCTGTCGATATCGGACCTGCCGTGCCCAACGTGACCAAAACTTGCTAGATTGGACCCTTGAACCCACGCATTGTCCTAGGTAAGATTCAGACAGTATGATTGTGATAGGAATTTCTGACAATTAATGTGATTCAGTCAAGCCTTCCAATTCATACTACAGGGTGCGGAAAAAGTACTGTCCCTTAAAACAAAGGCAAAGAAATCGGCATAATATCCAGGTTTTTCTGGTAAATTTGACATAAGTCCTAAGATACAAATAATTAATGTATTAATTAATGTATTCTAGCATTTTACAAAAACTGGCTCAAAAATCTGCAATTTCACCCGGTAGCGGATCCCTTTTCGCAGCACATCCCCTACCAAATCTTGCAACTCCCCTTAACAAATGTGGAAAAAGTATGAAGTTTTTTTGGATTTTTTTTTGTTTCTACCGTGGATATAAGAAATCTCCCATTGCTTAAGGAATGTTATAGTGTCTTCGAAATATGCTGGAAGTAGCAGACCGCAGCTGCAGTAGGAGAAAAGTTGGTTTGGCAACGAGATAGCGTCTGCGGCGCAACGGGGTGCAATCAGAAAACGCGGCACCGAAACTAAGTACAATATTTATTGATCCAAAATTATGTTGTAGACAAAGTCCAATGTCTTTTTCATTATTTCTGTTGCGTTTTCTTTAAATCTAGCATTTTAGACCATAGTTTGGATCCAGTCCTTTGAGCAAAAGCAGTTCTGATTAGCCTCTTTTCGTGAATTTTTGAAATTTGCTTGGGATATAATTTTCCTTGTTTAGCCAAAATTTCACGTCACTAACCCATAATGAGTGCAGAATTTTGGAGAGGAGATTGTGCTTTACATACTACCTTAATCTGAAATTGATATCACTTTTGGTGATA